TATATATATATATATATACACACACACTGTTAAATGTTTATACCTTTTTTGCTGCCCTTTTTTATTCTTTGTATATTTTTTCTTGTTTATTGTAAATTTGTGTTTGTACATTGAGAGCGGAGTGGAAACTGGAGACAAATTCCATGTATGCGTAAGCATACATGGCCAATAAAGCTGATTCTGATAACACATGTTTGTGCATCGACTCTCCTGTCTATTTGTGCAGACTCGTCACTTCGCTACCAAGCCCATGACTGACTGTCTGCTCATGCTGAGGAATGAACGCTGGAAGAGAGTGCGGAGCATCCTGACCCCGTCCTTCAGTGCTGCCAAGATGAAAGAGGTGAGACATGAGTGGGTGGCAATTATCATCAGCCGGTATTCATTATTAAGAATGTTATTTTGTGGTCTTAAAATTTGCCAATTAGAAAGGAGCAGATGGAAGATAGAGCTACATTTTGTGTCTAATAACTTACTGTCTGTCACAGATGGATGGTTAGAAGTGTGGTTTTGTTTAACTATCGAGGGTTTTTTTTTTGGTGTCCTGGTTCTGCTGATAAACATCTCTAATTAATTGATAGTGGTGCTGCCCCACTGCTTGCAACTGTAGTAAATATCAGACCTGCATCATTTTGGAGATAGCTTCTCAGTCCAGGTGCAAGGAGCAGAGAGGACATGAAGGACTCCTTTGTAGAAATGGGGCATATTTCCAAGGTGTGTTGAGTTCATGGTCCATGTGTCCAAATTCACTTTCCTTTCAAAACACTGTTCTGACTTTTGGAGGGTTTTGTCACGTTCTCACAAGTTTAGCTAAGACTCAAGCGCAGACACTGGAGACGAGGTGAAGTTGGAACTAAGGTATTTTACTTTAAAAAAGTCATAAACAACAACTTAAAGCGTCTCCAACAGGGAGCGGGCAAAAATCCAAACAGAATACAAAAAGGCAAAGTCACAAAAAAGCAAAGGTACAAACCAGGAGCAAACACGAGTACCAAACGCTGGAGCACGGAGCAGACATGAGGGAGACACAATGCAGGAACAGACAGGGGAACGAACAAGGACGATCTGACAACCAGAACAGGGAAAGCAGGGGAGTATATATGTGTGTGGTGATGAGAAGATTGAAGGCAGCTGGGTGGACTGGGCAGGTGAGTAGGATGAGTGCAATCAGGGGAAACACACACAGAGACAGAGACACAGGAACACAGGCCCCCCCCCCACCCCCCCCTCCCTCAAGGGACAGATTCCAGGATCTCGGGTGGGCAGCCTGACTGCCGGAGTTGCTCTGGACCCAGGCGCTCAGGCGGACGTCCCGATGGGCAGAAGGGCTCAGGACACAGGACCTCGGGGGGACGGCAAGACTGGGGCTCAGAAAAACAGGACTGGTGAGATTGAGGCTCAGAAAAACAGGACTGGCGAGACTGAGGTTCAGAAAAACAGAGCTGGCGAGATTGAGGCTCAGAAAAACAGGACTGGCGAGACTGAGGCTCGGACTGGGAATGACTGAGGCTCGGACTGGAGGTCGCTGCTGCTCTGAGGGGACAGCTGGAGTCGGCTGGATTGCCGGGGGAGCTGGAGTCGGTCGGACCACCGACAGGACACGGGGGAACTGAAGTCATCTGAGGCCAAATCTGAGGTTAGCTGCGGGCCAGCGGGGACGGGGGATTGACCCTTCCTCTGCCTCTGCCTCCTACAAGGGTTGAAAGGGCAGACCATCTGGTCATGGTTTGCCTTCTGGACACTCCGAGGCCCTCCCAAGGCCAGGTAGGTTCCCGTAAACTGTTCATACCACTCAGAGACACAGGAACACAGGGGGCAAAGCCTAAACCGTGACAGGTTTCTCATAAAGTTCTTTCTTGTCTTTATTAATCACTTAAAATATTGAAACATCTTGACTTTACAGTTCAATTTCAATGAGTGTCTGTCCTTTCCCAGAAACTCTCAGCAGCTGTGACGAGTATCACTGTCTTTTATGTTTTCCTGTAGATGGTTCCTCTCATCAACACGGCCACCGATTCCCTGATGAGCAATTTGAATGTCTCCGCTGAGTCAGGAGAGGCCTTTGACATCCACAGGTAATCAGACACGCAGCGAACAAAGGCTATTGGTATCATGGTATAGTTTTCTGTCCTCATATCTGTGTGTGTTTTGCAGGTGTTTTGGCTGCTTCACCATGGACGTTATTGCTAGCGTGGCATTTGGTACTCAGGTGGACTCTCAGAAGAACCCAGACGACCCGTTTGTCCGCTATGCTCAGATGTTCTTCTCCTTTTCTTTCTTCAGGCCCATCATGCTGTTTTTCAGTCAGTCAAATCTATCGGTGTTGTTATTTATATGTATGAATTATTACATGTGAGACATAATAGGAATGCAATGAAGGCAAAAATAATAAAATATTATTAAAACATAGACTAGAGAAGGGAGGGTTTACTATCTTCTGTTAAATAGATACGTTACGGAATAATTCATTGGACAATAAATGTGAAGAGAATTTAGCACAGTTTGTAGATTTAAGTTTTAAAAAAACATGCATTTGCATTTAAAGGTGGCATTTCAGGTAGATTACATGAACAAATTTGGTTTGTGCGTCTAGTTGCTTTTCCATTCATCACGGCTCCTCTGGCGAGATTCATCCCCAACAAAAGACGAGACGAGATGAATCACTTCTTCATCAACATCATTCAGAAGATCATCAAGCAGAGAGAGGAGCAGCCTGCTGAACAGGTGAATCTCATGAGCATCTAATAATCTTAAATACAGTACAACTTATAATTTCCCATTATGTTTTTTTTATTTATGTATTGTTTTTTTTTGTTGCATGCAGCGGCGTAGAGACTTTCTTCAGCTGATGTTGGACGCACGAACCAGCGAAGACTCTGTGTCTTTGGAACACTTTGACACAGCGAGTCACGCTGGTGATCAGCAGACACAACACTCGTCGGATCAGGACGACCGTCTTCACCCACAGGAGCCGTCCTCCAGGCGTCCACAGAAAAAGATGATCACTGAGGATGAGATCGTGGGACAGGCTTTTGTCTTTCTTCTGGCGGGCTACGAAACCAGCAGCAACACGTTGGCCTTCACCTGCTACCTACTGGCCATCAACCCAGAATGTCAATGCAAAGTACAGCAAGAAGTGGATGATTTCTTCACCAGACACGTGAGTGTGTCACGTTACGGTTTGATCTGATCTCAGTTTCTTCAGCTACTTACGACATAAGATTTTAGTTGTGGACAGTTGAAATTCAGTGCACATGGTTTTCATGGTTCAAACTTTAACTGAACTATGCTGGATTTATTATATTTGTTCCTTTTGTTGCAGGAGTCACCAGATTACACTAATGTCCAGGAGCTGAAGTATTTGGACATGGTTATAAGTGAAGCATTGCGCCTCTACCCTCCTGGATTCAGGTAAATGAATAACATTAAATGATATTAAATTATAAAAGGTGCATTTTGATTAGATGTACTACAGTCACAAAGAGCACGTTCATTTATTCCTGTACATACATACAGTAGATTACAGGAATCAAACATACATCCATGGCATTTGTTCCCCACAAAGGTTTGCGAGAGACATTGACCAGGACTGTGTGTTGAACGGACAATTCCTCCCTAAAGGAGGGACGGTGGAGATCCCAGCGGGCTTCCTCCACTACGACCCGGAGCATTGGCCAGAGCCTGAGAGGTTCATCCCTGAGCGGTAGGAGACTGTTCTCACTCTACATAAGCAAAACTAACGTGCCTGTGCTTTGTGTTTCATTATCATCTACATTTAGAAGATGGCTGAACTGGATTTGCTAACATGTTCATTCATTACAAATGTATTTCATGTGTCTGTCAACACCTGCAAATAAAGGAAAAGAAGTGTGCAGCAGCCATTCAAAATATTGATATTTTGTTGTGTTGCATAAGTTAAAGCCGAATATTACTCATACAGCTCACAGAAGACATTTTAACATGCCATAGTAGGAAAAGCACAGGTGTAAATAATAAAATGTTTTCAGTTCCTTATTGTAATACCTGTCAATGTCTTCAGCATTAACATGTAGAGTACACACCACCTTTCTTCTGTCACTCATGTCTAACACGGCTATAACGAAGGTAGTGAAGTCCCTGTGTTGTGCTAAAGGAAACGCACTGTCTCCCTGATTGACTCCTATTCTCTACTGCTTTTAATCAATCCAAAATCTCCAGATTCACACCTGAGGCCAAGGCCAATCGACATCCATTTGTATACCTGCCGTTCGGGGCCGGTCCCCGTAACTGTGTGGGGATGAGGCTCGCTCAACTGGAAATCAAAATGGCTCTAGTGCGTCTGTTCCACAGGTTCAGCATAGTGGCCTGCTCTGAGACCAAGGTGGGTTGGACACTTTAAAACACTAAAGACAAACGATCTGTTTCAAACTACTTGAGTCTAAGAAAGGATTCATACACACAGATACATTTAATAAAATAAATAAAAATAAAATGCAACTGTCAGTGTATTTTACCGCTGGCCGGTCACATTTAGTATTTGATCTGGTGAAAGTGGAAAAATATCTGTTGAGTCAGTCCTACAGTGAAAGCAACTGTACCGAGTGGTTTGAATTTATTGTTAACATCCCATCATCATGAACTCAATGGTTATATTATGGTAAAGAAATTAAAATGTTAAACCTGAAAATGATTTATGTCGTGGTCAGAATTCAGTATGTGTCTGTCGGCTATTTACATATGTGGTTATGAACATAATCCTTCATTTGTAAAATGTAAAATATATGTAAGATGTTGCTTTTACATATAGTGCTCTTTCCTTTGTGCAGGTTCCTCTTGAGTTGAAGTCGTCGAGCACTCTAGGACCTAAAAACGGCATATTTGTGAAAATTCAAAGTAGAGACCTGAGAGAAGGTCAAGTGGATTCTCCGCCAGACAATTAAAAAACTGACCGTTCATCAAAAATCCTATGAATAGATACAAAGCATTCTGCAGGTCCATGTTGTGACACTGACACACGTGTGTCAGTGTTAAGGATCTGTTCCTTTATTCCATAGGTAACATGATGAAGTAAATTACAAGTTACAATATACCTTAATTAAAGTGCCCGTCTTGTGCTTTTATTCGAGCCGGAGAGTGGACTGATGAGACGTGAGTAAAGAGATGAGCGGATAAAAGAATAAGTGTGCATGTAGCAATATTGATTTTTTTAATAGATCGATTTTGAACAGCTGTCTGTCATAAAAAGCTTATTCATTAATCAGAACAATGGTTTTAGTTTGTCGCATGCACTGTCGATCAAATCTGTCACCTGAACCTAAAAGTTTGCACATTCCTTCATTTAATGGCATTCTGTTGTTAAACTGTGCTGCTCTCTTTACTACTGCTTCCTCCCATGAATGATGGTTAATTAACCTCCATGCAATCGCAGATTACCACGGTCGATATAGACGGAGGTACATATGTTGGCAAGTGTTACTGATTATATTTGAATAGACTGTTTGATTCCCAACGCAGCAGCGCTGTCATGCGTCTGCGTCTTTTAACCTCCTCAGATGAAAGCTGCCATTTCAGAGTGAGAGAGGTTGTTTTGTGACAGGATAGGAAATCCTCATGCTGTTTTCATTCCTGAGGACATGAGTCAGCGTATCAAATGTCTCAGAACAGGAAACTGGACTTTAGTCGGCCAAAATTCTCAGGGAAAATCAAGTTCAACCTCAAAGAGTGGGAGTAAAAGCATTTTATCTCATTTCTCTTGATGACCTCATTCATTATCCTTCAAGGAGAACATCTGCACCGTACTCAAAGGAAAACAATTACATAACTACGTATCGTGCAGGTAGATACATCTTACTAAGAATTTCAGCCAGTGTTTGGGAGTTATTCTAAGATGCTTGAGAGTTACAGCCCTGAATTTATTTTAATTATGAATGTATACAATAAAAGTGATTTACTGATGATTAATTCAAATGTATCCAACAAAGAAAATGTATATTTCAGCAGCTGGGATTAAAGGCCAGAGGCCTGAATGTGTTTGAATGATATACATTTACAATGGGTCAAATACCACTTGTGTGCAACTAAATATTAACGTGTGATGATGAGATTTCTCTGTTCTATCATTATTAACTACCATTAAAAAAATCACCTGTTATATTAATGTTGTTCTTCTCTACTTCAATAATGGCTATTTTAACAGACAAATACCGTATTATTTAGACACCAAATGTAGTATTTACAATTGAAATAGTTAGTTATGGAATAACTTAAAAAACTATATATACTGTGACCTTTTAAGAAAAACTTTGCTAAAGCAATACACCTATATTCCAGCTTGTTATAGGCATTGTTTTACACTGAAACAGGAACCTTTTCCTATTTTAATCTGCACACATGTTGATGCTTCCAGTTTCTTTTACCCATAACTAGTAATTTATTCTATTCTTAGTCAACTGTTGCTGAGGGATCTTTGTCGCTTTCTACCCTTTCAATAATAAAGCGTTTGTGGCAGGCGATCCAAAAAAATGTAACTTCAATGTATATTGACATTCACTACTTTAATGGCAATCTGTAATCTATTTATTACATAACAACCAGATCATTCCATATCTGAACACCAGATTATTTGTCGCCCTCATCACCCTTCACTTGCATTAATAACCTGCAGCAGACAACAACATAGGCTCCAATCCTAAAAATAGACATTGGCCAAGAAAAAGCATTATTTTCTTGGTAAACATTCTGCAATGAGTATTTTCTGACACAAATTCATCAAGACACACTGCAATAATCATACAGACAAATCCCATTTAGTATTTCCACTTTCACCTACTTTGCACTTCCAGTGTTAAGATAAAATATTGCAACATTATCATTGAACAAAATAATTGTTCTTTTACTTAAGTAAGCTTTTGAATGCATCTATTTGTGGAAAAAATACTTCTCCCACCACCGTGAAAATCCATGAACCTTTAACAAAGCCACTAATTCAAAGTAAAGCGCATCCCATAATAGGTTTTACTGCTGACCATTCGACACAGGAAAACAACAGCATTGTGACTTATGAGTAGTCGATAAGATACTCTGGATAAATCTGTTGTTTTTCAAAGATAACATAGATGCCGGGGTTGCTCTCGCTGTCAACACAGCTGTCGTAGAGGGTTTTGCCGTTTCCTTTTGGTGGGGGCCGGACAAAGCTGCTGTTCCCCCTGGTGTACTCCCCCACCAGGACCAGAGCAACAAACATGATCTTGCTCAGGCTTCTTTTGACCTTGGCATATCTGTCTGAGTAGGACGCGTCTCTGGCAAAGTAACTCCCTAAAAAAAATAAGGCCGCATTAATACTGACACAGTTCAAGTGTGATGGCCTCTTTTCTACTGCCATGGGAAAGTATGCTGCTTTTTTTTCTGTTCTAAAAGCCTGATGAACCTGGAATAAGAGTTAAATGCTCTCATACCAAAATACAACACAACACAGTACATTTGTGGAAAAGACATTTGTATATTCATCACATGGAATGGCTGCTGAAGCTGTTGTACTGTACCTTTGCCATAGGACGTGCCATGGACACCGCACATCCTCCAGTCAAAGTTTTGCTCACAGATGGCCTCAATCAGGGACTCGTCTGTCCCGTGGAACAAGTACTGCTCATTCACAGACTTAGCTGCATTCCTCTCCTTCATCTGCTCTTTCTGCCTGAACACACAATACAGGAAACATGAACGTGATGACATGCGACTGGTTATTATTTTCGCTTGGTTAAATCTAAAGTATCTTTTTTGCTTTGTTAATTAATTGCATCTATAAGCTCTGTTTTTGGTTTTTGGTCTACCAACATCTCGTTAACTGCTAAATGCTGCACTACGTTCATCTGCTAACTGTGTCTGCCTGCTGCTTTAGAGCCTGTTCCACTGAAAACGGCTGAAAATGGTGCCTATGAGAGCGGCGAGAGTGAACCCAAACTGTAAAGTTGAGGGCCAGAACAGAAAGGAGCTGAAAGTCACTAAAGTTGAGGGGAAATGCAGATTCAGGCGATAATTCTCAGTAGGTTCATCACTACTAGCGGAGCGCCACCTTTCACATCACATTTGACACAATGTTGTAATAAAAATGTTGATTACAGCTTCAAGCCAAAAAGGCAGATCAGGATTTACCACTGAAAGATTTTCCACAGAGAGGGGTTCTGGACCCTCTGGATGTTGTTAATTTTACTCTGGGGCATGGTGCGCTTAAACAGCTTCTCAATCATATTGTACTCCTTCGCAGATTGAGAGAGAGGTACGAGCTGAAAGATAGGAGCACAGTGCAGATAAACAGGTCATTAATGCATAAATTAATATCTAATGTCCAAAACAAGAAAACAACTGAAATATTAAGCACAGTGCAGTGCAGTAAAAACACACACACACACACACACACACACACACACACACACACACACACACACACACAAACACACAAACAACAGGGTGAACCCTTTTCAAATGATCATAATCCTATGAAACAGCAATATAACTACAAGCTTGTGTTTTTTTCTATAACCTCATTGATCATTTATCAAATAAACTGAAACATTGGACTGACATTAATAATTAAACAGACACGTAAAAAAAAAACAACTTATTTTTGGGGAACAGGGAGAAAGGCAACACAGTAATACATGCTTTAAGAGAGACCTTGGATCCAAAATCCGGTTGGGCAGTCATGTCCCAGTGGGATGGGAAACTTTCAGCTGTGGAGGAACTGGAGCCGTGTGGTGATGATGCACTATGAGGAGACAAACACAAGAATTGTTTGACTAGTGAAGTCACTTGAGACACAGAGACATCCAAAACAGCAATGTTAGAATTCATCTTAAAATCTCCATTGAAAACTAAATGAGAAAATACCTCTTTAGCTTCGCCTCCACATCATGAGCAGACACAAAGCAAGGCCTCCTTCTGACCTCTCTCTTGGTTTTGTATTTTACATTCTGCTGATACAACTGGTGTGTTCCCGCTGCACCTTTGAAGTGGAGGATATACTGCTGTTGTCCAGCACCAAAAGGAATCTCTGTATCTCTGTCTGCCAGGTACACGTTCTCCAGAGTTTGAGAAGTGATGGAGGCCGGTATGCCATCGTCATTCTACAACAAAATAAACAGAGCCGACCGTAATCCATTTAAGTTTTGACGCAAGATGTGCCAGTGATGAAATGGGGGGGGGGGGGGGGGAGTCTGGAGAACGTGTACCTGGCAGACAGAGATACAGAGATTCCTTTTG